AAAAAAAAAAAAAAAAAAAAAGAGAGCATAGCTGGAAGAGGGGGACGGGTAAAGTCTCCAAGGAAACAAGAAACAAAATGGGCTTTGTCACCTTGCAAAACCAGGCGGGTAATCAAAGATTACAACCGCTTTTAATTTAAGGTTAATTTTTGTTTACTCTCAGGAGGCCGCCTCATCTTATACCCGCAGTACGTGTGACCTTCACCGCCACATGGCAGGTTTCTTTCCCTTCTCCCTTGAAAGCCCAGGGTAAATGCTAAAGTGCAGTTCCTGGAGAAAAGCAGCGGGGAAAAAAAGTGAGAGCTGTGATGGGGGAGATCAGTGAAGGGAGGAAGGTGAAAAGTGAGGGGGATAGATGTGTCTGGAGCTGTAACTAATCCCAAAGCAGATACAGAATAAAAGCTTCGCTCAGATTTCTTCCCCCTTTTTTTTTTTTTTTTTTTTTTCAAATGAAATCATCACCACAGCTGGAGGGTCTCCTCTAGGAGGAGAAATAGATGTGCTCTTTTGGACCCTTCTGCATAGTTGTGTGAGTCCCTCATCTTGCCCCCATTGCAGACACTATAATTAATACTGGAGTCCTATTGATGAAATCACAGTGGCATTTTCTCATGAAAGCATCCCCATTTTTATCAATGAGCATCCCAGGCATGTTTCTGCATCTGTGTAAGCCTTTTCCCTAGCAAAATACTATATATACACCCGTGCATAAGAGAAGACATCTAGGCTAGGAGGGTTAGCTGCCCAGAGGGTCCAGTTCAGACATGGGGTCAGTCTGGGATCACAAGCATGATACGGATAGCTGGAAATGTGATGGTGCGGGAGAAGTAATGGAGAGAGTAGAGCTATGGGAAGTCTGGAAAGGCATCGAAGCTGGAGGCAGAGTCAAGAAAGACATGAAGCATTGTCTGAGCAGAGGCTCAAAAAGCAAAGCAATGCCCCAGGTCTATATTAGTACTTATACTACAACCGTGACTAAAGGCCTTAATCCAGGTGAGTCCATGATTCATGCCTATACTAAGCACCATCCCAGCCCTGAAGCAGTCGCCACCTGAATAGACAGGACAAAGGTGGGGGAAAGAAGTTCAAGCCAGATGCAAGAGTACAAGCTAAGCTCACACAGAAAAGTCTGAACTGAATCCAAACCTCCTAAACCTCAATTTTGTGCCCAAATTACACAACAAAAGCCACAGGGGCCATCTGCCGCAGGAGCATCTTTCCTACTTGCAGATGCTCTTGGTACGAAAGCCTCCTGGAAGCAATTCAGGACAGAGGGCAGGTTAAACATCTTTATACTTACAAAACCAGATGAAGGGATTCAGTTTGTATTCCACTTATGACCATGTGGCCACCATACCGCCGAGGACATATGACAGCCTAATAAGTCTGTGGACTGGTTACCACTAGGCCAAACCAGGCAGCAGCGGATCGGCAGCAGCAACCACCTCTGTTGCTTGTCTTGGGTTAGACAGGAGCAGCTCCTAGCGCTCCTCACCTTCCCGTCTCCTGCGGCTGTATCAAGCGTACTGGATAAGGCTGTTATTAGAGAGCTGGACTGAAACGCACCAAGTTCAAAACCGGAATTGGCTTTCAAACCACTGTACGCGAGGTTGGAGGAAGACTCCCATCTTGGCACTATTTTTGAGATATACCTGGAGAACTTCAATTTGGGCTTTAATCCTGAGCACACACGAACACAAAAGACTTGCAAGGCTCTTCTTGCAGCCTCCAGTTAATGAGGTGAAAAGCAGGAACTCCATGAGTTCCTAGGGAGGAGAAAAAGGCACCCATTTCCTCTTTATCTTTATTTCCCCCCCCACCCCCCCGAGAGAGGCAGCTCTGCTCTTTGCCTTGTGCCAAGTAGGCTGAGCCTTCATTCAGAAGGAAGTGTCCTTCCCAGTTAAACTTGAAATGCCCGCGTACCAGCCTCACCTGCCACCCTCCCCTGGCTAGCAGAGGCCGAATGCGATAGCGCTGGTCAGAGAAGGAACAGCAGTAAATGCAAGGGACGGGTTTCCAGAGGAGCTGATGAATTTGCACTAGCTGAAGGGCAGCTCCTTGCCACCTCCCCGAGTGTCAGAGCTCTGAAACAAAGTGGAAGTGGCATATTTCATACTGGCTCTTCAGGGTACGTCTGCACCGAGACCCCAAACCAGCGTGCAAGCAGCAAGGAAGGAGCTCTGGAGATGTCCCCCGTGGCTGCTCTCAAGCATCACAGAGATCAAGGTGTCACAGGGAACATCTCCAAAGGCAGCTTCAATCCCAAGCTTGATGCATGCGAGCAGGAGGAGGTGGGAGAGATGTGGTCGAGAGCATGTCTGCGGGCATTTCCTCTGAGCCTGGGGCCCGCTGCCTGCACGGCAGCCTGAGTGCTGCTGCCCTGGGCTGTCGTTTCAAGGCACCCTGCTCGATTTAAATAAACAATATTATCTTTAAAAAAAAAAAAAAAAAAAAAAAAAATCCTTATATTGCCGGTTTAGAGTAGGCGCTTGATGCTCCGAGCAAGTGGGGACTCCTCTGCACAGGGTAATAGTAAGAAACAGCCCCTGCCTCCACCAGCTCACACAATCTAAGCAGGGAGTAAGAAACAGCACCTGCCTCCACCAGCTCACACAATCTAAGCAGACAAAATGCAATAAAAGGACCATCCTCTCCATTTTACAAGCAGGGCACCGAGGAACAGGGAGGCTCACTGGCCTGCCAAGGTCACCAGGGAGTGTGGATGGAGCTGTGCTCAGCCTAGTCTAGCCAAGGGCTAACCTTGCACTTTGGCCACACGCTCACGGAGCCCCGATTCCCTGGCCAATGCTTTCTTTAAGCACGGCCCTTGTAGGATTAGATTATTAGGCTGTTGTTCTGCCCTAAGAAGTGACTCAGTAAGGCTCCTATGGGAGAGCATGGTGTTTATGGTCTCTCAGCTTTTTCTCAGACAAAGGTGCTCACCTTACAGCAAAACGACGATGTCTTCAAAGTGCCAGCCCGTAAACTCCATCAGGGCCTGAGGAGCAAGTGGAGGTCCTCTTCCTCGCTCCTCTAACTGGAGACCTGAGCACCCGGGGTAGCCCTGGGCTAATGCCCTGCTCAGCCCCCACTTTGTTATGCTGCTTCTCAGCCCACCAGCAACGAATGCTCTTTCCAAACTGTGTTGGATGAGGCCTTCTCACACACCTGTGTATTGTAACCCCCTTGCCATAGGAGGAGTCGCACAGGTGAAACCACCTGGCTCTGTAATGGGATCCTAGGGAAGGGCTCTCCTGTGACTCAGGTGGGTGCAGACTCCCAATTATCTTCTGCTGCAGCAGTAACGAAAGGCCCATGCAGGGATCAGGGCCTCTCCATTTAGCCCACTTTATAGGAGAGGGGAGCCAGGCCCTACGCTCTGCCCCAGTATACAGCTAGCACAAGATGCAATCCTCAAAATAGCTCCAACCACCACTTTATATATCTCAGCTCCTGCCCAGGGATGGATTTTGGGGTCACAAAAGAAGGCTGCTGGGTTGTTGGTGGTAGCCGTGTTGGCCAAAGGACACAGACCGGCAAAATCAGGACTGGCTCTTTGAGTAGATGTGATATCTTGAATTAGACCAACTGACCCTAAAGAACAGGTCCAAACCTAGTTAAAGATCAGAGTCAATTGAAACCCAGCCTTTGGTTCAGCTACGTCTAGAGCTACAAAGACACTTACAGTTTAGATCCAACTGCAAAGTTCAGAAGTGGGGTCTGGGCGCCGCACCGCTGAGATTTCATCGGATCCATCTCTATTTTGGACTGAAAGCACAGATAGACAGAGGAGCTGGGAACGGCTGTCGAAAGCAATGACACCGGTATCAAATGCTGGAGCAAAAGATACTGGCTTTAAAACAGAACCCATAAGACCCGGAGAGATGAGAGAGGGGGAGATAAACGAAATCCTGAGGAATGGGATTGAAAATTGGTCGCACAAAGTTAATTGGCTCCCCCAGCACCGATATCCCGTCCTTGCCTAAACCTGCACTTTGGTCATTAGTAAAGGTTTGTGGGGGGGGGCAGGGTTGTCCATTGAATGGAATAAAGTTGTTGAAACCCTTTCGCAATTATTTTTTAGACCTTTCTTCCCAAAGTCCCTGAGTGCTAGAAAGCAGACAGAAATATAGAGGGAATAAACAGCAGAAACCATCTAAACAAGCCCGAACAGATTGGGAGCTCAAATCTTGAAGAACGTATGCAGCTTCACGCTTCAAATCACCTTAAGTATTTGCAGCGCGCGCTAGGATCTCCTTTCTATCATAATTAAATATGTCTGTCTTTGCACAAAGGGAGGGGAGCTTCGGGGGAGTTGTCACCATACTTAATCATAGCTGCCATTTCTCAGCGACCCTGTCAGGGAAGCAAGGAAACAGCTTTGAGTGTTGGGGGGGAAAGGGGGGAGGCAGGCTGGATCTACAAGGGGTTTCAGAAACATTGCCAGTCTCTTCTTTCTGCTTTTTGGTCTGTGCCAGGAACCCAGCCCCTGGGAAAGAGGAAGCAGGGAGGAAAGTACCTAGAGAATGGGGCAGTATTGCAAAAGAGCTGGGATTTTCCCATGTGACTAAGGGAGTTTGGTGCCCAGACCAGGCTTAGCTGTAAGAGGTGGCTAGGGGGAAGACATCTGTTATGGCAAGATTGATGGGAGCCCAAGTGAGATTGTCTCTCTGTGGTGCCAGGTGCTGCACACGCACACAGTGGGCACGTCTGCGTGAGATGCTTTACTACACAGCAGACTAATTTGCTGCTCAGTAAAGCATCACCATCTATATATGCCCAGCAATTAGGGTGCAGTAGACTAATTTACTGCGCTGCCAGATAGTCCCATCGCATACAAGTGCTATGCAGCAGCGCAGTAAATTACTCTGCTTAAACGCACATGTAGATGGTAACGTCAGGATCAGTTTACTCCAGCACAAATTGTACCAGAGTATATTCAGTTGCATTGAACGTGCAGATGTGCCTAGTGACATGCTGTTTCTGCCCACCCAAAAACAGAACTGTCTATGCAAGTGAGGCAGATGCAGGAAGGACCAAAGCCCCCTGCCGACAGAGAGAATAACATTTTTAACAGCACCCAATGTGACTCGTTCTCCTCAAATAGGACTTCAGTTCCTAAACCACTTAGGAGCACATGCCAGTTTTACCCAGAGAAGTGAATCCACTTCTTTCCAAGAGTCCCCAGAGGCCCCATCACGGGTCTTAGCCATAAAACCATCCTTGTAGTGTGCTCCCCCTTGCTGCAAGTAAGTCTGGATGGCTGTCTATAATGGGTTTCTGGCTCCTGTCAAAGGCTGCCCTACTAAATGGGCCACTGATCTGACCTGTCTGATAGTTCATCTTACCCATAGGTCTGGGTAGCAAACGTAAGCTTCTGCTAGTGCACATCAGCAGAAATACCTGACGATATGATATACATGATACAGGATATGCTGCTTAGTAGGTAACCATCTCACTTCTTTCTGCTGGTTGTAATTAGATCTATATATCTGTTTCATAGGTCTTATATTGCTGACAGCTAATGGGGATTCTCTGCTGGCGCAAGCACCGTGTTGTGTGCTTTGTGGCAACAAGGGCATATAATCTTTAACCTCACCACTGACTTGAAGTTGGGATGCTGGTCTGGGGTGACCGACCAACCTGAGGCCTGGGCAGCTTCTGTGCGCGGCATGCGGCAGCCTCACACGGTGGCAGATAGGGCAGGAAGGCAAAGGTACAAATCAGACAGGGAGTGCAGGGAAGGAAGCAGAAAGCAGAGCAGCACATCAGGCAGGGGAAAGGGATTGGAGTGGCACTTGGGGAGGTTACGGGGATAATTTGTGGCACGCCTGACATAAAGGTTGGCTCCCCACTGTTTTAAGCCATGGTATCTGCATTCAGGTCTTAAGACTAGAGAGCAGGGGTTTGGAGCTGAGGCTGTGTGTTTCTGTCCCGAGTGAATGTAGCTTGGGCATCGTTTAATAATCTGAAAGAAGCAGCCCATCTCCCTCTCCCAAGACCTTCTGCAAATCCCAAGTCAGAGAGCAATGCCACCCCAACACTGGACGGCTCGGCCCGATGGCTAGCACGGGGGCTCTTGCCCATGAATTCATGAGTCTGCCTGCCAGCAAGGCATGTTAGCACTAAACTAACAGCAAGCAACGTGCCTGTTTGCTTTGGATCCAGGCGGGAAATGACTGATTCCAGGCACGGATAGACTGCTATAGATCCTGCATCGTGGCAGGTACGGCTGGCATTCAGAAAAAAATTTAAAAAAACACTCGTTGTTGTCCGTACTTATCAGGGGGCTCGAATAATCAAACTATAATCACCTCCAAACGTTTACCATGCAAAGTACTCCTTCAGCTGAATGGACCAAAATCCTTGAGTACTTCCCAATCTTTAATGTATTTATCCGGAAAGTGCCCTTGTGAGCTAAGATAACACTGGTGTGCCCATTTAGCAGATAAGAAGTTGAGGCACAAACAGGCTAAATGATCTGCCCGGGGGTCATGCAGGAAGATGTGGCAGGGCACGGTCTTGAACTCAAGTCTCCCAACACGGGCTGAGACTTCATTTTCTGCTTTGAAAAGTACCTAGCGCATTGTCATTATAGTCTGGGAGCAGGCGTCTTTGCTCGGAAGCAAACCAAAATGGTGCAGGACCCAAACTTGCCCTTTTCCTGTGGTTTGACTTTTCTCAAAGTAAGATCAGAGAGAGTCCTGCTCACAGCTTCCACCCAGGTGCGACAACTCCCGTGGATCCTCCTCCAGGGCTGCCCAGCTCACACCCTGGAGAGCCCTTCCTTACATCTTCCTCATAGCCAGGTTGGGTTACATCTCTCAGGTTGATATTTCCATCAAACTACCAGTCTGCCCCTAAAAATGAGGCCCAAGCAGTGCCCTCTGCCGCGTGATGTGAATGAGTGCAATAATCACGAGGGGAGCGGAGAAAGGGACCGTACAATGACATAACCCCAGCCACGACGCCCGAACCTGCCCGCTTACAGCGCTAATAGGATGAGCGCACGTGTCGTTAGGTGAGAGAGTCAGGCACTAGCAAGACGTTTGCTGTGCGAGGTTGCTGGGAGTCATTTTTTTATCATATAAAAAAGGCTCCGAAATCCTAAATCAAAAGCACGTGCATTGGCTACATAAGAGCACTCCTGATTATGATGATGATGATTATCCTGAGCCCCAACAAAGATCAGCCCCTCTGCTATGCCAGGCGTTATACAGACCCCTACTAGGAGAGGGTACCTGCCCCGAATGACTTCCAATTTAAACAGATAAAGGATTATTGTTTCCTGATGGAGAACTGAAGGAGAGGGAGAGGACGCATTTGCCCCCGTTGCACATCAAGCTCGCATCAGAGCCCCAAATCAAACCCAGATCGGTTGCTCACCACCGAAGCGATTTAACAATGACCCCAGCCTTCATTTCAGAAAATGTAGGGCAATGGTCATCGGTCTTACTTTGTTGCGATGCCGTTTTACCTTCATTTTCAAAGATGCACTCAATTAAATGCAGACTCTCTGTATTCACATCACTAACCAGGTTTTAAAGTACTTAAATACACTTAATTAAATCTTCAGATCCCTTCAGTATTTCTGTAGACACATTTCCTATAGGGGATCGCTTGCAGTTCCCTTCAGTGTAATTTCTAGAGACGCCTCTTGTTTTTCATCCCTATCAAATTTTACAAGTCCCTCATAGGATTTCAATACTTCTTTCCCAGGGACCTGCAGCAATTCTCTAGAGAGCTGTGTATATTGGTTTAATCCCTAGGGAATCCTGTGAAGACTGACCATAAGAGCAACCACTCTCCTACCACGATGCAGGTACTCAGCGTCGTTCAACGATGGGTAGGGGAGCAGAGCCAAACAGAAATATCGGACGTTGCTTCTCCCCCCATAGAAATGAATCCAAAATTGGCTGCAATGCCCACTGCTGGACTCAAACTCTGTCTCTCTACCTCCCAGACCAAGCAATCTAGTGTCATTTAGCTTTTGCCCAAACTAAGCAAGCGGGCTTCAACCAGCAAGATACTATGTACTCGGACGCAGAAAAGTACTTAAGCGTATGCTTTGCTTTAAGCACGTGGGTAGCTCGCTGACTATGACTGTACTACATACATGCAGAAAGTTA